TTTATTATTTAACCCAGAGTAAGTGATTAATACCTGGGGGAGCAAACAGCTGTGCATCTCTCTCTATCAGTGTTATAGAGGGCAGACAATTAAGTTGTTAACCAAGACGCAAAAACTGAATATAAAGTAACTAAGATAACTGCTGTACATAGAAATCTAAGCTTCATTCTCTCCATTAGATATTGTACCATTAGAACACAGAAAATATTAATGGAGTTTAGTAATATTGTAAAAAATAAATAAATTAAAATAAAATTAGTAGTTGGCAGAGCTTTCCAGGGATTTAAGTAGAGCAGAGAATTAGCAAATCGATCCCTGGTTATTTTATGCTCAACTGACCTATTAGGTACAATAACAGGTGATTAACAAGGAATTAACAAAAACAGAAAAGAAAATTTTAGTAGAAATATCTTGTTTCTATAAAAGCCTACTATCTAGAAACAAAGTAAGGAAGAATAACCTCAACTGGTTATAGCCAGTAAAAGATGGGATAAATATCGGACAAGAACTGGGAAGAAGCATAGAAACTAATCACCAAAAGGTCTTTTTATAGGTTGTAAGAGAAATGCAATATAACATTTTGCACAAATTATTTCACAGTATAAATGAAATGCATGGGACTCAGGCATACAACTGGGCTGGCAGAGACGTGGAAACAGAAGCATAGATGCACACATTCTAATCCAGGGGTTGGCAACGTTAGGCATGCGGCTCGCCACGGTAAGCATCCTGGCAGGCCGGGCCAGTTTTATTTACCTGCTGACGCGGCAGGTTCGGCCGATCGCGGTTTGCTGTCCCGGGCTAATGGGGGCAGTGAGAAGCGATGCAGGCGAGCGATGTGCTGGCCGCTGCTTCTCGCCGCCCCCATTGGCCTGGGACGGCGAACTGCGGCCAGTGGGGGCCACGATCGGCTGAACCTGCCGTGTCAGCAGGTAAATAAAACTGGCCCAGCCCGCCAGCGTGCTTACCCTGGTGAGCCGCATGCCAAACGTTGCTGACCCCTGTTCTAATCATTCTCTGCTAGGAAAGTATATGGAAAAAATATCCAACATGTCCAACAAGCATAGACATTATCAAGGAACTCTATACTAGTATAAAAGAATTAGAAAGGTCAGCAAAGGAGAACTCTATAACCTGCAAGATGCCAATTACTGCCTTTTGTCCAGTCCTCAAACCAGAAGTCTGAAGGAAGACACGACTACCTTCAAGTTTAAATTAAGTAACTACTAAATTTACTGCTGATGGACAGACTAAGTTAACCAAACCTTCATGAACTGGAATCACTTTCTTACAATACAGATTCATGATTAATAAAAAAAAATTGTACAAAAAGGAAATCCTATTACTTAGAATTTTAAATTATCTATTCAAGTATGTTTTCATTCATACTAGACAGGTTAGATGATCTAAGTTTTATGCATGATGTTCACAAGTATATTACCTTGTTTTCACAATAATGAATGCTAGTGGCTTTTTGGAATGAATGTAAAGTTTATTAGATCTTGCAATTTAATGGTGCAGGATCAGAACCTATGTGGATACCATTTATGGTCTAAATATATGGCCAAGGAAAATGGATTACAACTGGTACTATAAAATTCAAAAGACAGGAACAATTATATGTAACCAAATAGCAAAAACTTAAATATTAAATGAAACAAAACAGAAAAAATAATAATGCTTAGGACTGGGTCCAGCCAATCATGAGTTTACTGGTCTTCAAGATACACTGCAAAGCCCACTCCTTTTCTCCAAAGGAGCGTGGGCATGAATTGTAGTGAATATTCTTTCTTCCCCTAACACTAAATGACATGGAATTATTCAGTATTTATGCACTTCTAATTTCTTTATGCACATGAGTCTGAGCTTTATGGAAAGGCATATTTTATCAATCCAAAGAAAAAAAATATACTACAAAATTTACATTTTAGCAATCCACGGCATCTTTTAAAAGCACCTTCTTACCCACAGAAACACTTTGCACTTGCTTGGTGAATGAATTCCATCGGCAAATCTTTTTACCACTTATATCCACATATATAAGTGAGCTTTCCTTTTCTTCCCAGACCGGAGATTCTCCAATTTTGCAATTCTCATTGACAACACATTCAATCTTAATGGATGACATTTCCTGAGAGAAAAAGAATTCAAAATCAGCAAAGCAAAACATTAATGTGTAAAAGGAAATCAGCTTGAAATCCAATTTAAAGCTGAAATGAAATGGAATGAAAAACAATATTAATGTTTATTTTTTTCCCTTCATGCTGTGAACATGGCAGTGTAGGCTGCTCTCTAAAGAGAACCTTATCTACCTATTTTGGAGATTATCAAGTTGCTGCTATTCTTCCCTCATAGTAAGCAAATGAAGTAGACAGTGACTTCTGATGCAGGGGAAA